ATTATGTTAATAATTTAAAAAGATATCAAGTTCAAAAGAAGATAGATAGATTTTATTTGATAGATGAATTTATTTGCTTAAAAACATAGTACATAAGATCATCAACGACGTGGAACTGACATGTTTTGCCATAATTGGCATGCAAAAATGATATGAAATACAGCTAATTACACAAACCCAATGTTACATTTTAAAATTATTGCATTTTAAAAGTTAGTTACAAACATTCTTTTTGAATTCAAATATTATGTATTAATTAAATACTTTTACAGATCCACTCTATTTGAATTCTTATACAATAAATTGTTCATAAATTATTAATTGAATTATTACATTATTGTTACATAAATAATATTATATATTATATGAGATTAGTTAAGCTATTATTATTTTAATAATTACACTACAGTATAAATTAATTCATAATTTTAATTGCAATAAAATTATAATTTAAAAATCTCAGGCTATTATGCAAATATTATCTACCATTTAACTTATTTTATATTTTAATAAATAAATAATCAATATGAGTTACTAATCGTTTTTAGAAATAAAATGTCAATGTTCATTTATTCCTTAAACTTAACTAAATTTTATATTAAAATAATAAATTTGACGAATTTATAATAAATTATGTACATAGGTACTGTCATCTCAAAAAAGAAAATTCGTATTCGTAGAAGATGATGAATTGTGGTTTTTATCGTCGAAATCCCATAGTTTTTTCTGATTCCAGCAGTTCTAAAAACTTTATTGTATTTTCATTATTCCACTTGAAAGGTATTTTGGTAGATCGTACTTATTTAATAACAAGACGGCACGCACGTCCGTTCATCCAGGCGCTTGGCGCGAAGTGAGCGATGGAGCTGAATGTGAACACTCACTGCCGCTCGCGCTGCCCGTCCTTTGACTTCCGCACGAAAAACCGACATTTGAGGGATCGTCGGGCAGTGGCAGCGGCAGCGGCAGTGTCAGCGCGAGTAGCCTGTTTACATACTGCCCTGCTCACTGCCCCGTTCACTTCCCTGCCCAACAGGGCTGAATGTAAATGGGGCATTAGGTACAATAAAAAATAATGGCCATTATGGTGACCTAGTGTTGTTAATGTTAATTTGTAGCTTATATAATGTAGTTTTCATTTTTATAACTAATTGGTGCTACAAAACAAATCTATTTTTTTATAATAATTTTTGACGTGAAAAATATGCAAAACGCTAGTTTTCGGCCACAAATTTTAGATTTCGGCCTACAAGAATTTTACTTTTCGGCCACTGTTTTAGAAAAGGTAGTGCGAATTTAAAAGTGTTTTTTTAAAATCAGAAAATGGCAAAACGATTTGAGAAATCGGTGCAATTAGTTTATTCAATCGGTGTATGTGATTTTTTAACCATAACATATTTTTTTTTCTCAAAACGATTTGAGAAATCGGTGCAATTAGTTTATTCAATCGGTGTTTGTGATTTTTTAACCATAACATATTTTTTTTTCTTTTTGGTTTTGATATAAAAAATAACCATGATTAATCATTTTTCTTTGAATCATAATCTAATTATAAAATCTTTTAAATATAGTAATCAAATCTTCTCATTTACGAGTATTTTGTACTTCCTCATATTTTAGTTCATCAAAATTTGTTACCATCTCTAACCATCAGTACATCCTAAATCCATTTGGTGCAAAAGTCACATCCAATATTTTTTCCAGATCTTCTTATGTATTGTTTATTGAAATATTATGAAACAAGGCGCAATTTACTCTTACACTTTTCTCTTTCATAGATTTCTTGGATTTAGCGATTTTTCGTATTTGAACTTTAGCACGCTTTAATTATTCTTTTTCTATTCTTTTCTTTTTCAAAGTTTCTTAGTTCTTACTTCTCTATTTTAGCTTTCTGTTTATCTTCATAAAATTTTAAGGAAAAAAATTCTTATTGAATCTTCTTCCTAAACGCAATGTTAATGAAACATTTCATGAAATGGCCGTAAACGTTAACTAAAACAGCTTTCTATTTTCCGCCGCCTTATTCTCTTCATAAAATTTTAAGTTGGCCGAAAACTAAATATTTATTTTAGAGTCAATCCAGTTTTCGGCCACGACCGAAATGAGTATTTTTGTTTCATCACTGCCTATTAAAATTGCAGTACTTGGTGGCCGAAAACTGAAAGTTAGTGCCTAAGCACGCTGCGATACAACATAATAGGCCTTCTACACGGTCGGGACCAACCACCAACCGTCGTGACCTTGGTCGAGTTGATGACATCGGTTGTTTGACCAATATTTTGGTTGATGTCCGACGGCCTTGGTCGCGAGCGCATCGCTCACGACACGTCGGGTCCGTGGTTGATGCCGACCGTGTGGAAAGCTGTCGGCCGACGAGAGCGCCTCAGTTACAGTTTATACAAAGGTACTCTGTGGTGCGCGCTTTGCAGTCGTCGCAGGCGAATGTTTGACGGCACTGTGGATACGAACAGAAACAAAGAACGTGAGGTCCTGACCGAATTCTTGTCACTGTACTGTGATTTACCATGTCTTAAAGTACCATGTCATGTTTGTTTAAAGTAATGCGCTCTTTCAGTCACAATTTCATCCATTTTCTTTTTTTTTCATCTTCACTCAATCGTATAAACGTTAAAGCTAAACCGATGTTTTGTTGTTTAGAAAATCAAGGAGCCATTTTTAAAATTAACTATCTTGCGACTTTACTCTTTAAATACCAGAGACAACTGACAAGTTGAGTCAACCACCCGACCGTGTAGAAAGAGTACAAAAATCGGTTGACCCGACCAAGATCACGACGGTTGCTGGTTGGTCCCGACCGTGTAGAAACGCTTTAAGTAAGAAAGATGAATTGTAGGACGTAACCAATTAAATGAAAGAGACAAAGTGTTTAGGCTAAACTCGGGCTACTTTTCGGCCGAGGCCGACAACCAAATAATAGCACAATTTTATGTGTCACTTTTCGGCCACTTAATTTATTAACTTTATCAATAAAGTATTATAATAATTAATGCCAAATAACTGTATTAGGTTATTTATACAGTGAAATATAAGCGCAATATTAAGTAATTATATTGAATACAGCACAAAACTAACTTTTGAATGGAACGCGCGTCACTATTTTTTTTTTGCTCGATCTTACATGTTTTGACAGCTTTTGTGCCGGCGTCGAACTAAATTATTTATTATAAATCGCGTGTTGTGTTTACCTGTTTATTTAATGATACCAGATATAGTGCAGATATTTACAAATGCATTAAACTTCATTTCGTACGATAATATTTATTAAAACCATTATTAAATCAAATTTACTGCATCACCTCGTGCCAAAGGCCGAAATCTAGACCTGGCCGGCTTACCGGCGCATCGATCATACGTATATGTGTGAATGTGTGTTCTTATAAGTTAAACAAATTTCGGCTGGATTTTGCATCATATACATAGCGCTTTTTTTCTCTCTGTGGCAACCGCAGTGACAAGTTGTAAAATAATAGCTCCCAACTATTTAGCGAAATTAAATATTGTAAATTGATAATATCCACCTCAATTTCAAGTTACAGATGTTAAATAAGACTTAATTGTGTTTGTAAAATAACTAAAAGTCATAAGTATTTTAATTAAAATAGTGTTTTGTGTTTCATCTAAAAGTGACAGCTGTAACGATCATCGTTTAAACTTTCTGTAAGTTATTGTAATTCTTGTTATCCCTTTAATATTTTAAGATTAACCTTTTAAATTAGTGCTTTTTCGGATTTCAATTTGAATTATTTACCTGATAATTTAATTTGAGATCTGTAAGTAGACCCCAGAGATCTAGATATTAGCTTACTCTGTTTCTTCGGTTTTCTTTCTTTGTTTTCTTTTGTTATTTGCACATAATAGTAAAATGAATACACGCAACGTCAAAACGCGCAAAATGGAGAACCAACTTCAAATGGCGTTTCTAGAACTTAAGGCGTCAAAGGAGCAGTGTGAGCTGTTGCTTAAAGAAAGGGATGACAACGAAAAGGAAATAATAAATATAATTGCCAAAAATAGTGAACTAAAAAGTGATATGGTTAAGTTGCATAAAGACAATACAAATGTTTTAAAAGAAAGGGATCAGCTTCAGGGAACAGTCGATGAGCTTGACCGATGCAGCAAAGAATATGAGGTATCCCTCAGATTAATTGCTGCATTGCAATTGCAATTAAGTGAGGCTAGTGAGCAGATTTTGCAATTAAAACAATACTTAGATGAATTGAAAGTGTCCCAAACTCAAAGTCTGTTCAATGAGCTCATAGAATGTAAATCTTTAAAAACATTGCAATCCTCCACAACAATCGATTTGACTGTTGATGATTTTGTCACATCAAGAACAGCACAAAGGATTACATGCAGTAGAAGGAAATTAAAGAAATATATAAAAATTAATAAATATGTTAGGAAAGTACAAAAGTTAATTAAAACAAAAATTAACACAAAAAATTATATAAATATATGTAAGGAAAAGCATGAACTAATTAATAACCTTAAATTATATTCAATTGAGGTGGAAAATATGAAAAACTGTTATGAGGCTGAAATAGAGCGTCCCAATTGATGTCAACAAAATTATTATTAGCGGAAAAATAATTAATAGCGGAAAACGTGTATTTTTCAAATAAATGGATCGAAAATGTAACGGCTGTGATGCCGTAATATACGACATTTCGTACATGGAATGTGCAAGAGATGGATGCAATAAATTGTACCATCTTAAGTGCTTGGCTCTGACGAAGGATAAATACGAAGCGTTTACTGAAGAATACAAGTGCAATTGGAGATGCCCGGAGTGTGTTTGCAGTGCACCGAAACGGGATAATTCGGACACACCAGTTCGAGGTAACCAGAATATAATGAATCAAACTTCTACCCCTTGCTATGTAAACTCAGACCGAGGCAATAGGATGTTTCCAAAAGAAGTTATAGAATTGGATATCAGTAGTAAAATACTGCAAGAATTGCAAGAATTTAGATTTGAAATGAACTTTAAAATAGATGAACAAATAAGGGAGTACAATTTGCTTAAGGACAGGTTTGTTGATACCGAAACAGAATTGCGTAAATTACGAGATACTTTGAAAGTAGTGCAGAAGAAGGCAAGCAAAGTCGATGAATTAGAAGCGCAGATAAAAACATTGGAGCAAAAAAATGAGCAATTAAAGAATTGTCTGAACAAAAATCAGCCTACAAAAGAAAGAAATGAGACAGTTAAGGAAATCAGAAAGGAGACTTTATCCTTTGCAAAGGTACTCACACAAAACGAAAAGCAGGTACTAAGCAAAAATCAGCCAGTAAACAAAGATAATAACAAAGATAAGCGTGTAGTGGCATGCGTGGCCATGAAACCGACATGTAATATAGAAACCGCTGCGGAGAGTTTTGATAAAGAACAACTATCGACAGATAATACAGAAAATAAGATGGAAACTAGCAAAAAGAAAGGATCATGGATAACTGTACAGAAAAAGAAATATCCTGAGAGGCAAGTCTTAAGAGGAGGAAATACTGGTACAGGAAATATTCAAGGTACTGAAAGGAAAAAATTTTTACATGTTTGGCGATTAAAAAAAGGATATTACAGTAGAAAGTTTGGAAGGACAACAGTGGAAAAAATTAAACATAAGACGGAACGAGACTATGCGTCATTTATAATAGGAGTTCCAGAAAGTTCATACGAAATACTATGTAAACCAGAATGTTGGGCAGTTAACATTGAATTTTGTGAATGGGTGTGGTTTCGTAAACCACCCAATAAGTAATAAGAAACCACTCAATTTTGTGGAGATATACTATCAGAACGTGAGAGGATTGAGAACAAAATTACACGATTTTTATGTGGGAATTTCTTCCCATAGTTATGATTTTTTTGCAATAACAGAAACAGGATGCAACAATTCTATCTATGATTCAGAACTTATCCCTCCTGGATACATGATACTTCGGTGTGATCGGGCAGACGGACGCAAGCAGAGTGGTGCGTGTTTAGTGGCCACACCACGATACGAGCTGCGGGAACTAAATACCCCGAACGATGTACGTATTCAAGATCACGCATTTGAACTGGTTAGCGCTGCAGTTTATCAACAAAATAAGTTCATGTTTGTGTTGTGTGTAGTATACATTCCACCGAGTTGTGGTGATAATGAATACATGTTGTTGTTAAGTATAATAGAAAATTATCGTGATGGCTACAATGATTTAATAGTGATAGGCGATTTTAATTTATATTCTAGCTCAACAAATGTACGCAATCATTTTGAGTACTTTTGCACAAATTGTGAATTCACCCAGTACAACAAAATAGGAAATTGCAATGAACGACAATTAGATCTTGTTTTGAGCACGCGTTCAGCGGAAAAAGAATTGGAGGTGCGCGCGGCTGAGCCACTCGTGCCGCCCGACCCACATCATCCTCCGCTCGCCATTGTGGTGCAGCGGGGGCGTGCGCGGTACGGCGGGCAGCCCGCGCCAGCGCCACTGCTAGCTGAGTCTGAGGGGAGCAATCAGACGCATACTGGATGGAACTTCTGTAAAGCAAACTTTCCGTTAATGTATTCGTTAATAGCGGCCATAGATTGGATGCCAATGTATAGGTTAGATGTAAATAATAGTTTAGATAATTTTTATGAGGTTATGGAAGTTATGGATGACTGCGTGCCAAGAAAAAAGCGAAGACGTGTAAACTCGGAGTACAGTTACCCCAAGTGGTACACGATAGACATTATTCGCAACATACAATTAAAAGCTAGGCTTCATAGGCAGTTTAAGGTTAGCAAATCAGGGGCCGATTATGAGGCGTTTGCTAAGTGTAGAACGTATGTAAAATATTTAATAAACTCCACGTACAAAAATTATAAAGACCGGATGCAGAGTGAGTTTCAGGAAAATCCAAAGGCGTTCTGGGCTTACATTAACTCAAAAAAAGACAGCAGAAGTCCACGCAAGATTTTAAAAGATAATAAGGTACTTACTAGTGAGCAGTGTGCTACTGAGTTTGCTCAGTATTTTTATTCGGTATTTAGCCCTAAGATGTCTAAGCTGGACGTGGAGGCGGCAGTGAATCAGGCTGGTGGTAAGAATGGTGCGGCTAGGGTACACTTAGAACAACTAAAGCTTGATGAAGTACTTTACGCTCTGCAAAAACTCAAGCCAAAAAAGTCAACGGGAGGAGATGGCATACCGCCCTACATTTTCAAAGACTGTAGACTAGTACTTGGTAAGCCATCTTCTACATATTTAATCAGTGCCTGGCGGAGGCAGTGTTTCCAGATAGATGGAAAACAACCAAGGTAGTCCCAGTACCAAAAGGAAAGTCAGCATCAAACGTGGACCAATATGGGCCGGTTGCTGTCCTTTCGACACCAGCTAAAGTACTGAGGCTGCAGTACACAAGAGCATCCTCTCGCAAGTTAATGTACAGCTTTCGGATGAGCAACACGGTTTTAGACCCGACAGGACCACCACCAGCAACCTAATTAATTATATGAATTATATTGTACTTGAAGTGGATGCTGGAGGACAGGTAGATGTAGCTTTCTTGGATTACAATAAAGCTTTTGTCCTAGTGGATAATGACATACTGCTCACAAAACTGGCAGGTGTAGGATTTACTCCCCATTTACTAACATTTTTTGCTAGTTATATGCGGAACAGAAAGCAGTATGTAGAATATGCGGGGTGTAGGTCAGAAAACTATTTAACTAGGTCCGGAGTAAGTCAGGGCAGCAATCTCGGTCCATTGCAATTCATATTGATGATAAATGACCTTCCAACGGTTGTCAAAGATGCTCATTGTACTCTATTTGCAGATGACCTGAAACTGTATCTTGCTGTGAGGAACAGAGAGGATTGCCAAAAGTTACAACAAGATATAGATGGGGTGGTAGCCTGAAGCCAACATAATAACTTACAATTTAACATCACGAAGTGCATAACTATGACCTTCAGCCGTGTACTATCTCCAGTTACGTACCAATACCAGGTTAACGGGGCACCAATAGCGAAAGTGTCAAAAATCAAAGATCTAGGGGTTTATTTCTCCTCTAAACTAGAATTTGGAGAGCATATAACCAAAATCTGTAAGAAAGCCTACAGAAATTTGGGATTCGTACTACGGATAGCTAGGGACTTCACTAATATAAAGACAGTTATTGCATTATATAATTCTTTAGTGAGGAGCCAATTAGAATTCAACGCGGTCATCTGGTCTCCACATGAGACTAAGTATAGTATCATGTTGGAGAGAGTGCAGAATATATTTATTAGATATTTATATCAAAAAATGTATGGAGTATACCCATTTTACCCAAATAAGTATCCTACCTTATTCACCTTAGGTATGGTAGGATACAATGAGCTAAAGGTTAGGAGGAATTTAGCGCTTGTTTCATATATCTTTAAGGTGATGAGGGGAAAGATTCACAATCCAGACGTATTGCAACAAGTGCGCATATGTGTTCCGGACAGATACGTGTGGCGGCGGCGGCGGCCGCAGCCGATAGCTGTGCCGCGCGGCCACACTAAGCTGGTGACTGAAGCGCCCTTTACGCGCGGCCTCCGTATCCTCAACCGTATAGCAGAAGACATAGATATATTTTGTTGTACTCTGGGTGGGTTCATAGTAAGAGCTCTGTTTGAAATTAGTTATGGTCCTTATGTGATATAGATACGTGTTTGAAATAGCAATAAGTACATATCTGTAATCGAAAATTATTAGCTTGTAACTGTGTAGTTGTAGTTGGTAAAATAGTTGTCTACATTATCGCATTAGGTGATAGACCTGTAAAGATAATTGTATAGTGGAAAATAAATAAATAAAATTCAGAAGCTTTGTCGATTAAAAACTCCTTACAAATTATCTCAAATAAATATACATCGGCTCAGGTTGAGATAAAAGAACACATATTGGCCATGAATGATCTGGTAAAGTCATGTAAATACAATGAGGAGCGCTTTGACTCCTTAATAAAACATCAGAGTGAGAATCAACGCTCCATACCATGTTCATCGGGGACAATATATATAAATAGCAATGACTCCTTATTTTCACCAACACTCTATGACGGTGTCATAACAAAGAATAAAAACTTAAAAAAGTAATTTAAATATTAAAAAACATAAAGTTATTATGTATTGTGATGACATAGGTAAAAATTTGGGCATGATGTTAAATAACCATTTAAAAGGACAATTGATTAGTAATTATTGTATGTTTGGCGCATCCTTTAGTCATATAATGAATAAAGTTTTAACTTGTAAGTTTTGTCCCAATAGCACATTAATAATTCTTGTTGTGAAAAGAGGCAATGTAAACAAAAATCAATTATGAAAATATATTGATTACCTCAATACTTTAATTCATATATATTCGCCCCTTTAGGCTCCTCGGACCATTGTCTTGTCCGGAGTGTGGTGCCACTCACGCTGAAATCGCAGTTGCATTCTGCAGGCTGCCGCCGTGTTTGGCACTATAGGTCAGCCGATTGGGATGGGATGCGGTCTTCCTTTGCATCCTACCCTTGGGGGCGGGTTTGCTTCTCGCCGGACGATCCCAACGTTGTTGCGGATTCTGTTGCTGTTATGGTACTTCAGGGTATGGAACTTTTTATTCTTTCCTCTGTGGTGCCCATTGGAGGCAAATCTCAGCCATGGTTTGGTCGATCCTGTAAAATAGCATCATGCTATAAGCAGGAGTGCTACCGAGCCTGGGCTGACGCATCAGCGTCAATAAGCGTAATCCAAATTTTTTGTATGGAACATTATTTAAGCTCATTTGCAATGAATTTAATAATACTTTTACTTCTTAAACATTGTCCTTGAGCAATCGCAAGGCATTTAATGAATGGGCGACAGTAGGAGTTCATAAGAGTAGACAAAGGTTATATGAACTTTACAATGAAAGGTCATATAATCCGAGCGTCGAATTTAGGGAATATGTAAAAAAATATTCCAAAATATTTAAAAGAGTGTGCTCCTTAGCCAAGTCATTGTATTTGAGCAACAAAATAAAGACTGCTTCTAATAAAATTAAAATGACATGGAGTATAATTAATAGTGAAACTGGTAAGGTCAAGTCTCGCGATTCAAACTACCAGTTACGTTTTAACAATAAATTAACTAAATCAGATCAGAATGTTGCAATGGTTTTTGAGAAATATTTTACTGATATTCCGATCTGAACCACTAAGTCACTGAATTCTTCTCCTGTCGTCGCTGAATCATTACTTAAACAAAATATAAATGTGTGTACAAAGAATTTTACATTTCATAAAGTGTCATCAAAAAATATTGTAAAATATTTTAAGACTATTGATATTAAGAGAACTGCCGATCTGTGAGGGATTTCCGGTAAAGTTATTGCGTCTATAATAGATATAATCGCGCCTCAACTATTTATTATTTTTAATACTAGAATCGAATCTGGTGTGTTTCCTGATTTAATGAAGCATAGTAAAGTTAATTTTAGACCTATTTCTGTACTGCCTACACTTAGAATTTTTGAAAAAAATTATTCTTGATCAAATGTTAAATTTATTTGATGTAAATAATTTACTTCATAAAAATCATTTTGGTTTCACAAGGGGTCGCTCGACAACTGATGCTGGTGTTGAGCTGATTAAATATATATTCAATGCATGGGAGAATTCACAGGATGCTTTGGGTGTATTCTGTGACCTATCCAAAGCCTTCGTCTTAGTTATAAAATAATATGTAATTAGCATAACGTCAGACGGACAGTCGTAATAAACCAGCCGTGAAGCTTACGCGTATACTCATTTATTCTCCCTGCAACCCGCACACTTCAAAGTTTAGCGGATATTCTTACACCGCCATTACATAGTTGCTTAAATATATGATACTTTAACTATGTGTAATTTATGTGATGCTTTTTGTTTTTAATCATATTACAAGCAGTCACAAATTTATGATTAATTCCTGTTAACGCACGATTAAAATGTTTAATTTCCTGAAGCTACGTGAAAGGTGCAATGTTGATACATCTCGGACAGTGCAAACATTGGTCGTGTTGTGCCTTAGAGTGGCTCGTTGAATTGCACATGCAGTTCATTCTGTTTGTATATGAGTATGAAACAGTAAGCTAAGTTATGTATTTAAATATACAAAATCTACCTAAATGTATTTTATAATAACATTAAAATATAATATCCAATATAAAAAAACTGTAAAATAAAAAACTTAACTTATCATACAGTCCTACTCCCCGCAGCATAGTGCCGAGAACGCCGGCTGCGTTTCCTCGCTGGAAAAACTGAAAAAACCAGCCTTCTTATCACCAGCAGCGATAAAGCATAGTGATTAAGGCAATTGACACCGAGTACCATCACTTGGACTGTGCTAGTTTGTAACCTATATTATATTAAAAAAATCTCTAAAGTAACGCCTAATTTGAATAATTTATAATAATCAGTCGTACAGCCTATACGACTGATTATTATGCAGCTATCCCATCCCCTGTCGTTACTACTTTCCCCTGTCAGGTTCTGAGATAAAGGCTCCGGCTACGATGGAACCGGGATAAGAATGTTTACAAAGTTTTGACACTGTTTATTTTCTTAAAACTTAATTTAATCTCACGGTAAACAGACGCAACATCAAGTTAAATTTACATTAAATCTAAGCTTTAATTGATTAAAGTTTGAAGATCTCCATCGCTGTAAATTATTTTTGGTAACAGAACGTCTCAAGTTTGTTTTTCGTTGACTTGTTTTGCTAAGTGTACACTTTTGAACTTATCTTTAAGTAGGCAAGCGCGAGATTATCTTTAAAATTTACCCCTATGCAAGCAATTATTTCAGTATCATTACACAAAAACAGAACAAATTATTGAGAGAAGAAATGTTTAAAGCGAGACAAAAGTGGTTATATGCTGTGATAAAAGACGATAACTTATACGTAGAAGGAAAAAAGGTAATATTGAATACAAATACAACAAATAACAAAGACATAGATAATAAAGATACATACGACAAAAGCATCAATAAATCCTTTTTTCGAAACCAAAGACTTAAAAGACAAAATATTTATCCAGAACATTCAGAGCATTTGCAATAAAAAGTCTTCTAATATATCTAATATTAGAAGACTTTGTACAAAGTAATCCTGATTACCAGATATTATACTTTACTGAAACATGGCTGTCTCCGGAAAAACTCGAACTGATACATTTAACCGACTATCAAGTAGCCGCATCGTATTGTAGAACATCGCGCACCGGAGGCGGCGTCTGCATCCTGCTAAAAACTCGAACTGATACATTTAACCGACTATCAAGTAGCCGCATCGTATTGTAGAACAACGCGCACCGGAGGCGGCGTCTGCATCCTGCTAAAAACTCGAACTGATACATTTAACCGACTATCAAGTAGCCGCATCGTATTGTAGAACAACGCGCACCGAAGGCGGCGTCTGCATCCTGCTAAAAACTCGAACTGATACATTTAACCGACTATCAAGTAGCCGCATCGTATTGTAGAACATCGCGCACCGGAGGCGGCGTCTGCATCCTGCTAAAAACTCGAACTGATACATTTAACCGACTATCAAGTAGCCGCATCGTATTGTAGAACATCGCGCACCGGAGGCGGCGTCTGCATCCTGCTAAAAACTCGAACTGATACATTTAACCGACTATCAAGTAGCCGCATCGTATTGTAGAACATCGCGCACCGGAGGCGGCGTCTGCATCCTGCTAAAAACTCGAACTGATACATTTAACCGACTATCAAGTAGCCGCATCGTATTGTAGAACATCGCGCTCCGGAGGCGGCGTCTGCATCCTGCTAAAAACTCGAACTGATACATTTAACCGACTATCAAGTAGCCGCATCGTATTGTAGAACATCGCGCACCGGAGGCGGCGTCTGCATCCTGCTAAAAACTCGAACTGATACATTTAACCGACTATCAAGTAGCCGCATCGTATTGTAGAACATCGCGCACCGGAGGCGGCGTCTGCATCCTGCTAAAAACTCGAACTGATACATTTAACCGACTATCAAGTAGCCGCATCGTATTGTAGAACATCGCGCACCGGAGGCGGCGTCTGCATCCTGCTAAAAACTCGAACTGATACATTTAACCGACTATCAAGTAGCCGCATCGTATTGTAGAACATCGCGCACCGGAGGCGGCGTCTGCATCCTGCTAAAAACTCGAACTGATACATTTAACCGACTATCAAGTAGCCGCATCGTATTGTAGAACATCGCGCACCGGAGGCGGCGTCTGCATCCTGCTAAAAACTCGAACTGATACATTTAACCGACTATCAAGTAGCCGCATCGTATTGCAGAACAACGCGCACCGGAGGCGGCGTCTGCATCCTACTAAAAACTCGAACTGATACATTTAACCGACTATCAAGTAGCCGCATCGTATTGTAGAACAACGCGCACCGGAGGCGGCGTCTGCATCCTGCTAAAAACTCGAACTGATACATTTAACCGACTATCAAGTAGCCGCATCGTATTGTAGAACAACGCGCACCGGAGGCGGCGTCTGAATCCTGCTAAAAACTCGAACTGATACATTTAACCGACTATCAAGTAGTTTAATGTTAACTTTTTTAATTCCCGAGGGACCGTGGATGCTGTGAGCAGTTCTCAAAAATTTTGTACGGCCAATATTTTTTACGATTTTTAAAAATGTGTTTGTTTTAAATGATTTTATTAAAGAATTTGCTAAAAGTAATATAACATTTGAGTAATTTAATGTTTGTTACCAATAAATATATACCATTTAGGAATAAAACGAGTTTATTTCCGAGCATGGCATTACCGTGTTCAATTTTGTTACTAAACAAAATTCATTTAATTAAATGTAGTTCTTTGATTATTCCGTGTTAAATATTTTATACGATTACATATGAAGGCATTTAAACCCCCAAAAAATTTTTACTTGTATAAGTTTGCTAATTTTTTAAATTACAATACAAACATTTTCAACTGTATTACTTAGGACAAAAACCAAACAATTTTTTTCTATGTATTTTAAAATAAAAATAAAATGTAAATATTGTTTGATGATATAAAATTACAATTTTTCGGCAAGTATTAATAAGTAAATATAATTAATTAAAATCCAAAACTAAAATTTTTATCAGTTAAAAACCTTCTCTATTTTTATGGACAGTAACAAAATTGGTTATGAGTGGTAACCAAGAAATTATTAAGGCCCATTTACATTGTTAGGAATACGGGTATAATTGCATTTAGTTTAATAAACGGAAAATAATAATAGGACTCTTAATTAAAATAAGCAACCCTTTATTTTAAAATGATGTAACATACGGGAAATAGACTTAACTTCTAGAAATTGGTAGATTTCCCTAAATAAAAGAAAACTCTGTCGTTTGTTGTTGTTAATTAATTCATTTGAATGAGAATGCATCTCCATTCTCATCAAAATGCAAGGATTTAGTAATATAAACGATACAGAAGTTGATATTTCAAAAAAAGTAATTTCTAAAAATGCTAAATCTATGCGATTGCATGTCCATTTCAAATCTTTATAAATTTGTTGTAATGATGCTTCTAAGGCTTAATTTATTTATTTAAGGTTTAATAACCAGATCTATTTCTATTATTCTAGTTTTTTTTTTACTTTAGAATCATTTCAGCTTAATACTGTACAATCTTTTATTTAGTGCTCCGTAAGATTTATATTTTGTTGAATTTTTTTTCGTTTTCTTCAAGTAATTTTTGTAGTTTATGTAACATTTTGCTGTAATATTTCAATGTCTTGTCGCGCTCTCTTTTTTATCTTTTTTATTTTCTTGATTCTTTACCGCTTCTGTCTCTTCCAATGAATGATTGACGTTTTATGATTTTTGTTGATTTTGTTTTCCATTTTGTTTTTCGTCACTAAGCTCAGATTTTTTTATGTTTAACCTTCATCCTTTCTAAATTTTTACGTCTTGATTCTTCTAACTTTTCTGGTTTATTCTGGCTTATTTCGATAGCGTTTCATTTCTTCCGTGGCAGTTAGCGGTGCCATTTTGTACGATAACCTTAAAATTAAAATCATTTATTTGAGATTTCATTCAGCACAATAACATCTTCATAAAAAACTGTTTAAATAAACAAAAACACGACTTCAATGAAATCTTCGCTTTTGAAAGTTAGGGAGAAGAAGTATTACTTCGTTAAATTTTGTTTTTCCTTTATTTGAACATTTGTTTCAGCATTTTTTTATTAAAAAAAACTTCCTATATTATTATTTAAATTTACTTTGGTGATTTATTTAATAAAAAGTTAGAATGGAATATCCTATTATTACCAAAAAAGGAATTATGAAAATCGGTCATGCAATACAAACAAAATAAGTTTTAAATATAACAATACTTTTTGCAGACAAGCTTTTATACGCATACTAAATTTCATTCAGTTGCTATTAACCATTAAGCAGTTCCTTCATGAGGAGACACTCCTGTCTGTGACATGAGGTTAAATCTGTCAAAAAACTGCTTTGTCATAAAAACTAAAAGTGCTTGCAAAATTTTAGCTCAATCGAATACCAACATTGAAAAATAGTTTGCAAATTTTGACGGACATATTTTTACTTACATACGAACAGTGCAAGTTAAATAAAAGCAAAAACATACGTGGTCGATTTGTGTTGTGTTTTTTTTTTTTTGGAAGTCTGTTTAAAATAAATCATGGCTAAAAACTATGTATGGCATCGCCAACATGAAATTCGTTCTGGATTTCAATTAAATATATTCAGCAGATTATACGAGAGCGAAAAACAAATACTTACCTAACGGTAAACATACATTTCATATTCTAATATTTTCTATTTGTTGACAGTAGGCTAATGTATTCGTCCCTTAATGATATCAATTGTGTTACAAATGAGATCAACATATACGTTACATACTCAAAAGTAACAAAATTGAGGTAACAAAATTTGAGGTTTTGGGATTTTTTTACCGCCTAAAAATATTATTTTATTAGATAACGTTGTAAAAAATAGTAGAAACAAGAGTGAATGCACATAGAAATCATTGGAAAAATGTTCTTCTTAATAAAGTATGTACTTACCGTTTAAAGTCCAGTAACAAGTTTGAGTTTAATTGGTACCCACAACACTCGTGCACGGATTGTTTGACACAGAATACATGTCAGCCTACCAATTTAAGATTAAAGGACTTCGACATGGAGAAAAATGTTTACACAGCATTCAAACATCCAAAAAAGTAGTATTTTTTACAAAATATGTGAAATATCATGGTAACAACGTTGATAATCAAAATTGAGTTAAATTTAGGACAACAAATAAATTGAAAACATTAATAAATTAAATAAGCAAATACATGTACAAAGGTATCATTGTGTAAATAAATAGTGATGTGATTAATCAAAATGGAAAGATGTACTCCTAAAGTTTTGTTTTTTGGTAAAATCAATTTTCAAATCATGTGATAGGGGATAGGACAATTTTATTATTTTTAAACGCTTCTGTTAGTATTTTATTTGTGATTAATTATATCTATAGATATGACTTTAAAAGATTTAAAAAAATCTGATAAATATGGTGTCTTATATAGTCACAAAATAAACACGAACTTAAAGGACATCTAAATTTAAGGCGGTACAATTTTGGTGAGAACTGCCCCTGTAGAGTACTTGAAACGTCGGAAGTTAAAGTTAAAATAAAAGAAAATAACTGTAAAATTAGCTTCGTCGTGTAGTATTCACGTAAATATAAAAAATCATTATATTTTTTGTATTTACGTTACAGGATATCTTTGCCAAGTGTAAAGAAATTTAGATGATTTTTTCTTTTAATATATAGGTTATACTTCAGAGGAGTGGCAAAATAGGGGACGAAGATTTTAATGTGGTAGGGGGTCATTGTAGAAGCGTGCTCGTCACGACCCCTGCCAGCCCTTTTCAGGGCTGCAATTCTACACAGCTGCACACCCATGCAAACGAGGGTTAGGTCGTCCCCCAAGGCGACGCACACCAGCTCGTCGCCGTTGGTGTGGAATGCAGCGCGCAAAGCGGCGATGGGGACCGCCACCCGTCACGCACAGCCCGACACGGTGGAAGGTGGAGGACGGAGTGCAGAGTTGGCACGTGGAATGTTAGAGGGGGGCATGAGAGATAAGACGAATGAGTTGATCGAAATGATGAAAGAAAGAGAATTAGATGTCGTGTGTATGTCGGAGACCAAACGGAAAGGCAGCGGTACTGAAAAGCTCCCTGGCGGGACGTTAGCTATATGATCCGGAGTCCCGGAAAGCGAGAACGCCTGCCAGGGAGTAGGGGTGCTGTTGTCGTCCCGGTTG